GGGGCAAGGAGGCACGAGAGACAGAGAGGACCGGGCGACCCGGCCGTAGAAGGGCAGGTGGACGGGGAGGAGGGGGAGGGGAGGGTGCGAGCGAGACGGCCAACGGCGGCGGCCCCGGTGGTGCGACGAGGACGGGGCGGTAAAGCGTATTGTACAAACGCGCGCGCGCACACGCACCACACACACACGCACACACACACACGCGCGGCGCGCAGAAGGAACGGCGAGACCAGGAGCGTACACTCGCATATGTGTACGCGCGTCTCTCTCTCTCTCTCTCTCTTGCTCTCCCTTTCTCCTCTTTTTCTCTTCTTTCCCTCTTTCTCTCTGGCTCGCGCGCGCGCTACTCCGCCATCATGAATACCTCATTATCATGAGCGGAGTGACGTCAGAGTCCCCGCCTTCAGATTCCTCTCGAGCGGAATTCCACCGTTAACACAGCCAGCCGTCGAGGAGCAGCCCGCGGCGGCGGCGGCGGCGGCGGCGAGCGACGGCGACGGTGTTGTCGTGCTGCGCTCGCACGGGTGCATCGATCGGGTGCACTTCGCGTATCATCACCAACCAACCACCAACCACCCCCACTAACCGACGCGCGATCACCGCGGGATCTCTCGCCCGCTTCTACAATTTTATTTATTTATTTACTTTCCTCGCTCCCGGCACACTCGCACACCACTCGAATCTGTCGCGCGCGCGCGCGCCGCTCCGGGATCCTGCGTTACCGCGGCTCCTCTCGAAAGCCCGTCTTCGCGGTGACAGAAGGAAACAAAACAGAAAAACCGGGGAAGCACTCGTGCTCTCTATTCCCTCCGCCCGGCTGTGATTCGTCGCGCGCTTCTCAACCCTCCGGGTGGTGGTGGTGCCGGCGCATTCCTTCCTCCCGCCCTTGTTTCCCCACGGAGTGTCACCTGCGCCGTTCGCGCTCGAGCCGCGAACCGGCGATGCACGCACCCCGGTCTCGTAATCGCGTTCGTCCCGATAAACCCGCGCGGCCTCTCTCTCTCTCAGCGGGCTCTCCGCTCCGATCCGCGCGTGTACGTCGCGCTGTGCTCCGTTGCGATCTCCTCGCCGAACGCTACAGCGACGTCGTGTCTCCCGTCGTGACTGCGGCTGCGGCGGCGGTGGTGGCGGCAGCGGCGGCGGCGGTGGCGGCAGCGGCGGCGGCGGCGACGACGACGGTGGCGGAGGCGGAACGGCCCGCGACCCGTTTCAAGCGACGCGCGCTATCACCGGCTCCGCAACGGCAGCGGCAGCGGCGGAGCACGTTTCACCGTGTTCCCTTTTCCTCGTTGCATTAGCCGCGGCTGTAATGCTAATGCCGAGCAGCGGATCTTGGCGTTTTTCGCACGCAGGAATGTGGGAACCCGACGCTGCCCTCGCTCTCGGCGCGCGCGAGAGGACGATCTCTCTTTCTCTTTCTCTCTCTCTCTCTTTCTCTTACCGTTCTCTCTCCTCTTCTCTCTCTCTTCCCCGCGTTACCGTTTGATTCCGCACTCGCGAATCGACGATACCCGCGACGATTGTCCGCTGCCACGAATTTCTCTCCGACGGTCAGGCCGGCGCGCGAGAGGCCTCACCTTCTCCTGCCGCGTACACCTTCGCGGGCGACGACGCAGCCCGAGAATAAACTGCCTCGTCCTCAGCCGCGCGACGCGCAACGACAACCAGGGGGGCTTTTCACGTTCCTACGCGCGGCGCACGGATTTTCTCGTTTCCGACGTTACTACCACCTCGCGTCACAGCTACGAGCATGCCGAGTGTTTGAGACATGCCACTGGACGTTCATGCCGTGCGCGCCGCCTGGCAGTCCGCTCTTTCTCTCTCTCTCTCTTTCCCCCCCTCTCTTTCTCTCTCTCCCGCTCGCGCGCTCTATCTCTTCCCGTACCCCCCCCCCCTCCACCACCCTTTCATCCGTATTCACCGCAAAGAACATAGCGATCCCCCACCGCCGGCGCAGCGTCGTCCTCGTCGCTCGCGCGCTCGCCCCCCTCCCCACGCGCCCGAATCGGCCGGCCGAGCGACCGCTCTCGGCCGTCGTCGGTCCTCGTCGCGCCCGCACCGGCGCCCATCGCGCCGTCCCCCTCCCGCCGTCGCCGGTAAGCCTCTCGCGTGTCTCTGACCGCGCGCGAGAGGCGGCGGGAGTAAACGAGCGTGTTTGCCCTTTCGGCAGTCTCGCATATTTGCCGCTACGCCGCAGGAACGGCGCCACCGTACGACGCGCCGCGCAGGTGCACCCCGCGCGCGGGATCGCGCTCCGAGCGCGGCGCGTGTGCGTACGCCGTACGCAACGCGAGATACGCTCGTCTCCAGGGTTGGGAGAGAGTTACTTTGTAAAAGGGATCCGAGTTACGGTAACAGTTTTCTCGCTGAAAACGTAACCAGCTGCAGTTACGAGCCACCAGTTGCGAAAAGTAACGCGTTACAATTACGGTTACGCGAACAGTGACGAATCGTTATACTTTGCAGCTGCCCTCTTGCAATAAAAATAAAAATATCCAGCCTGCTTTTCAATTGTCAGCCGTTTGCGCGCAAACGCAAGGCCCAATGCGTTCTGCGGAGGTTTAAAATATATGTAAAATAATTATTGATGTAACTGAGTTAAGTTGCAGTTGCAGATGAAGAGAAAGTAACGAAGTTAAGTTAGAGATACCAAAAAAAAAAGAAACGTAAATGCGACTGTAACTTCGTTACAAGTAACGAGTTACCTCCCAACCCTGCACCCTCAGAAAGGATTTCTGTTACCGAGACAAAAATATTCTTGACGCATTTATATTTCTCGCAATCTCATTTAGTTTAAAAATAAGACGATATCAAAATAAAATCAATAATTCTTATTAGAAAAGATTGACTCACTATACTGAGACAAGAGTTAACTCGTATAAATGTAAGTTTATATATTTTTGCGTTTAGAATAAATTTGCTAGATTTTAGAAGTTTTCATTTGAGATTAAAATATTCCCTTCTCTGTAATAAATATGATTGGCGCTATATCGATCCTATTTTATGACACATTCAAGTATAATAGCATTGGATCTGGAAATGTTTTCTGTGGGCGTGCGTTTATCGACACGTTTGATCTCTGGCGAAAATAATCTATGTTCATTAAAAGTTTATAAGGAGTTTGTTTAAATGTTGAGTCAATGTTCTATTTGAGTTTTAACCTATTTACCGAATTGCTCGTGAGATATCGATTTAAACGCGGAGTTATTTACGACACGTTCGCGGTTACAAGTGTTTAAATTGCGTTTAATGATACAATGTTAGACGTTTCCATTATAGTTTTCTAAGTGTTTGTAAAATGTTATTGTCAGGCAAGAATTAACCAGGTGTTTGCAACGTACTTCGAAACGGCGTAACCATCGACAAAACTCTCCATAAACAATGTAACTATCGACAAAACTCATAAATAAATACCAACGTCATCTCTCATTAAAAATTTTTGCCAGGGATACGTGGAGCGGGGAAAACGGAGATCCCGAGACGCGCAGGGTCCTGTAAATTCGTCCAGGTCGTCCGGGACTTCGTTTGTTCCTCCTCCCTGAAACAGACTCTGCGGCGGGCTCGCGTTTCAGATGTTTCGCACTCGGCGCTTGCAGCAAGAAAAATACCAATATTACGGATCGCTTCACCATCTACGATTGATTTAATCAGCCGATTAAGCTTCAGTGTTCCGGTGGAACCGACCAATCACAGCTGACGCTTAATCGGCCGATTTAATCAATCGGAGATGACGAAACCGGCGTTCAGTATCTATCTTGGAGATATCGGGAATGCGACAACAATTTTACCGATTGTTTGGAGACTTATAAAAAAATCCGAAGTTTCGTTTCGGACAATCGCAAGTTGTGACCGCCTCGCGGCAGAAGAAGCCGCTTTGCAACCGCTGTAAAATTCCTAGGCCGGTATTCGTAGTCGGATCTTACGTTCAAGACCATCTTGAATTTATCTAAAGATGTTAGGGAACGTTCCATTGGCTACGGAGTATCTAAAACCCGTATCAGACTACGGATTGAGATTGGGATTAGACTGAAATTTGACCAATCACAGTAAAGTTTACTAATCGCAAGTTTAGTAACTTTTACTCTAATTGGTCAATTTCCAGTCTAATTTCAATCTCAATCCGTAGTCTGATACGGGCTTAAAGATGATCTCGAGGCAGTCTCGAATATAAGACCCGACTACGAATTAGTCCCAGTCTACAATAGAGATTTAAACCCTAAGCCTTAAGAAATTGACTAATCACAGTCGCGTATTCTACTCGTACCTGACCGTGATTGGCCAATTTCTTAAAGCTTAGGGCTTAAATCATATCTATTGTAGACTGAGGCCGGTATTCATAGTCCGTTCTTATATTTAAGATCATCTTAAGTATACACTTAATGCGTTTTTAACCAATCAGAACCGTAATAGCCTCTTAAGACAACACTTAAGATGATTTTGAAATAAGAATCGGCTATGAATACCGGCCTGAGACTTACCGGCCATAGATTGATCGGAGTGCGTTCTTAGATCTGTCGCAGTTAAGCGCGCACGCCAATCAGAACTCGAGATTTTTACAGCAGTTGCAATGAGTTTACCCGCGAAGTTGTAAAACAAGAAAGACGCGCGACCGCGTGACTCAAATGACTGAAACGGCGGGACGGGGATTAAAAGAGCACGTTTCTAAACTCTAGCTATGAAGTCGAGTGTATGACTGTATGCAGCCCCGGGAAGATCCGCTCGGGACGTGGAGCGAACAACACGTCTTCTGACCTAGAAGATAAAATTTTTGATCCTGCGGGGTTGCATCGTCCGTTTGCGTCATCCCGCGCGAGGCACGATAGTCGGGCCCCTGCGTTGTAATAATATCATCAATTAATCGTCTATAATTCTACGTCTATTGGTTCGTCGTGGCCGTGTCCGGCTACCGTTTACTAAGAGCCGGGCGCCATAATTAGCAGAAGAAGTGCAGCCGCGGACCGAGCGGGCCCCGCGTTTCGCCCGCATGCGCAATCGTCTCGCCGCGATCGCTGGCGAGAACTCGCCACGACGGCGAATTCTAAACGTGCCTGCCCGATGACTCCCGCCGTCCACGTGACCGCCCAGCGACGTATAAACACACGCACACGCGTATTGCGCGCGTGTGCGTGCCACGGAATGCGGAGATGTGGAACATATGTTGACGCGATCTCGCGGCCCCTCTCGCCTCGCTGAAAAAGGTCAGGCTGCCCTCGGCGATTTGGATTCGACGCGGCACCTCCGGTGGTACCTGGGGCTCTCGCGTACCGAGATCGTGCGCGCGTACGGGATCGCTCGTCTTTTTCCAGGGACCGCGGGCCGTCAGGGCGAGGGAGGGATGGCGACGTCCGAGAGCGACGCCGACTTCGAGAGCGCCGACGAGGAGCTGGGCCGCGGCGCCCCCGTCAAGAGGAGCACCCGGGTGACGGCCTGCCGCACGACGGTGGACTCCGAGTCGGACGACGACACCGAGTGCGTCCAACAACGTGCGCCCCGCGACTGGCAGGAGAGACCCGAGACGCTCTGCACGACGTCCGATGCGCCGACGGGTCGGGCGACCTCGATCGGCGATAAGGGCGATAAGGCAGGCGGTGTCAAAGTTGAAAGTGGCGTACGTATCGCCGAGTCAGTTGCAGACAGGACCGCTGACAGACGGGAGACCGCGTCCCCCGTCGAGTCGGAAGAATCCTTGTCGGCCAAAGGTAGAGACGCTGAAGCTGCGGTGGAGAGTAGTAAGGTTGCGCCAGATGCCATGTCGAGAGCCGCGAAGACCGCGTCGGGGGACGAGAAAATGCCCCAGGCGAAGCCACGACGTGACGCGTCCCGTCAGTTGGGCGCGAGAAAGCTGGGAACCAGACTCGCAGAGGACAATGTTGATGAACGTCGTGCCGCAGGTGCAGCCGCGGAACGGGAGGATAAGCGTTCAAGCGAGAAGCCCTCGCCGTCCGCGTGCAAAGATACAGAGTGCAGGTCGGACGAGAGGTCAAAGACTCAAGTAGCAGGTAATCAAACTAGACCGTCGTGCGATTTGTCGGAGGTGGACATGCCGGAAGAATTGAAGTCGAATAAAAGATTTAAAGAAGTTTTTCAGCCTGAAGGTTGGGAAGGACTTGGGGATGACGTCGAGTTGCCTGACGAATTGACGGACGAGAAATTACAGCCTGTGTTACAGAGGCTCCCCTCGGCGAACAAGGAGGAGCGCAAGGGCGAGGATACTCTGGGTGGCTGGGGCAGCTGGGGTAACTGGGGCGTAACTTCGTTAATCAGTACGGCGACTGCGAGTGTATCTACTCTGACTAGTCATGTGTCGCAAGGGCTTACACTTTTGGAAGGTACGATGGCAGCGCAAGACCCCGCGGAACTGGAAAAGATAAAGCGAGACGTGATCACCGATGGTACAGTGTTTATACATTACATGTAATTTTGTTCATTCGCGTAGCATTACCTTCAATTTTTGCATTCGCTGTATCATTGTACGAAAATAAACCGTCTATGTGCACTGCAGTTTAAATTTGTGACTTGTAGATGCACAGCCAGAGATCCAGGAACAGGAGAGTCGGCCGTACAGTTCGTTCGGGCTCGGGAATTTGATGTCCGGGGTGTCCTCGATCACGAAACTGGTCGAATCCACTGGCAGCAAAGTTATGACCGGCGGCTTGGATACGCTGGAGGCCATCGGGAAGAAAACGATGGAGGTGTTGCAGGACGGGGATCCCGGATTAAAGAAGAAAAGAGCCTTCTTCATGAACGAGTCCGAGCGACCGAACTTGTCGCAAATCCTCAGAGAAGCGAAGAAGAAGGCCGAAACCGAGGAGAAGACGATTGAGGAACGCGAATTGGCGCGGAAAGTGCATTTCGAGAGCCTGTTCGACGATTATCAGGGGCTCGTCCACTTGGAGGCTCTCGAAATGTTATCAAAACAGTGCAACATGAAAATTCAACACTACCTAACCGAGCTAGATACGAACGATTTAACCTCCGTGCAAGAAACATTGGAAGAGATCAAGGAACTTTGTTGTTTTAGTGATGAAGATGTCGAAGATAGTGCTAATAAAGATTTGAAAAGTAGATTAGAGAACGCTTGCCACGAGCTTGGTGTTGAAATTACCTACGAAAAGCTATATAGCGTAAGAAAATGTCTACACAGTATCGAATATAAGAATTCTGTTCGTTGAAAATGCGATGAAAATGATTCTGTACTTTCAGGTTTGGGCAGAAACGGAAAGTTATCTCAAGTCGTCCTCAACGCGCACGGCCCAGGACATCTTTCAGAACGCCATGTCGACGCTGGCGCAGTTTACAGCGTTCTCCGTAGAGAGATTTCATAAGACGGCAGAATTGCTGTTGATCAAGGAACGTCGCAGTACAGTGAACGAAGCAGACTCTTTGGTGCAGCTTATCAACATTCTGTCCGATCAGATTAGATTATTGGCCATTTCATTCTGCGATACGTTACATCGGTTTGCCGAGAATGCGGAAAAGTCGGATGACATCAATGCGAATATAACAACAATTTTCTTAGAAGTAAGTATTTGAATAATTCACGTAGCGTAATAGTTGTAACGCTAAAACGTTGTCTTTTCCGCACAGGCTGCCAGCGCAGACTCGTATATTCAAGAAGCCTTTAAGCTCTTCACTCCGATTCTGCAAGTCGGCGCAATCTAACGAGTAATTATAAAATATATTAAAAAGGATCATTTTTTTATACTTTATATATTTAACAATATTGTCTAGATTAAATACCATTTTCGATGTAGGCATAGAGCACAATGTTATACTATTTCCCTGTTTCATAAATACATTTCTCATGCTATCCTTAAAGTATCTATGTTCGAAGAAGGGGCCAACTTAATTCTGCTAATTCAATATATTACCATTTAACTCTGTGTATTTTTGCGGTTATCGGTCTTTGTATTATTCCACATCAAACGCGAGGTAATTGCAGATATGTGTATACGACAATATCTACCCAGTGAGAAATAATTCGTCGATCGATGTCAATTTGACGATTTCTCGATTCTTCGACATCGTTTCGACATTCGTCGACGAGTCATTTTTTTCTCGCTGGGCACATGTATATACTGGAATCCATCGGATAGGTTTTAGTAGAAAATTGTCTTTATGTACCTGTGCACCAATAATGCACATATTGTTACAAAATAATTAAATTTTAGGTATTTAATAATATAAAAGTTTGACTGCTGTGTAAGATATGAAGATATCTGTAACATAAGGTACAAAGTCCAATAAAGATTACGCTATGTATATATCGACAACACATGTAGAAAAAGATAAGAATATCACAATGATTAATAATGATCAATACAAAAATACTTTTCAAATGTTTGCCTTAACATCGTCATTAACGTTAACAATCCGGTAGAGAGGACTTTACAACGTGTGTTGAAGATAACAATAGGCTTGTGTTACAAAAAATGATCCGAGACTGAATGATCAGTGTTTCCCTCGTTTATTGCCAACGGGAGGCTTCTGAAGTTGAAAGTTCGAGTTGGTTCCGTTTACTGGTACTGGTGCGGTCAGGTTAATCGGTGCGTTAAAATTTAAACTTGCTGTCGGCGGTTTCGTGGACGAGCCTATAGTAATGTTAGTGGCAGACGGTACCGGCGTCGAACTTTCCCAAACTGTAACAATACATTAACACCGTTACTTTTAATTCAGTCGTAAATGATATAGAAGATATGTGTAATAGCTGAAAGGCTAAAGCCACGGAGTAATGTCTCTTTTATTAAAGATAACATTTAACGCTTGTATTTTTGAGATGACCATTACATTTCAAAACATGAGCCAATTTCATCACGTTGATACCTCGTACTGTTACTTATTGGAATTGACGTTTTAGTGTTAATTTTCGCATCAGCATAAAAATCTTTGTGTATCTACATTTGTGTCCTTTTTCTGAACGCTTAAACTTTCATTCTAAAATTGGTTTAGAAAAATGCAGATGTGTATTTTAATGTCTCTACATACAGCCTGCAAAATTTTGTTTGACTCCGTGACAAACTTAACAATATTTCTCGTTTAGTATCCATGTCTGCAAGCATTACTGCATAACATTGGCAAAGCCGAAAGCACTCAAAGCACATTTATAGAAGGCACTATCGTCTGTTAAGAAAGCACGATTTTGAAATTGAGTCTTTCGATAGCATCTCAATGCAAAGTATATTAAAAGATTAATAATATCGATGTAACCTCATTTATACAAATTAATTAGTTACTATGTTGGAGATTTTTATGCAGGCAAAGAAGCGCGTTACCCTTTACCCATGATCGCGACGATAACAAAAAGAAACTGAAATAAAAATTGAATACCTCAATAATTAAATTACAGCCCCTATTTTTTTTCCTGAAAGGCAAAATCAAAGTCAAGTCATACAGGTGAAAAATGAATCGACATTTTTTTCGTTAAATAATAAAAAGGAGAAGAAAAAGGTAGATAGGCTAATTGTGATCACACGTTAATTCTATTTAGTAATAAACGACGTTATATGTTAGTAAGTTCTACCTCATAACTAGATCCAGGCAAGACCTGAAGGTAGGAAATCTTTAGGGGGCGGTTAAAATCATCTTCTTTTAAAGGAATCTTTTTACTTAGCATAAGGATATATAATTAAATTACAGAATAATCAACAGCAAGACCTATTTACCTAAAGGATTTCGTGTTTCGTAACTCGCTGGCCGGTTCGAGTTTAATGTCGTCGACGACAAAAAGTTTTTATTTCCTGTAAGCATTAATCTTGTTTTTCAAGACTTACAATGTACGGTTAGAGATGTGCGAATCTAGAATTTTTTTATGTAGCATCGAATCGAATTTTATTTTTCTTTTTTTGAATCCGAATCGACCAAATTTTATCGTCATCGAAGCAAGTCACATCGTGAAACTTGAAACATAATTTTTAATTTACACAATGTAATTATTAGATTGAATTTTCACACAATTTGTAGAGACAAAATAATATTGAGTATACAATGAGTATAAATTTGTTTTAAGGTAAGAAACATATTTAAATATTTAATATAAAACAAATAAAATATACTTTTAATGTCGCAGTAACAAACAATCAGACAAAAAATCATAGATAAATTATTAAGATACACTATAATATAGTATCCAATTACATTTATTAAAATAAAATAATAGCTATAGTTTATTTTATTATCAATACTCATTGATCTGGATTCATTCTATTGTCACTTATTGTTAGCTGCTTAATGAGCGGTTGCAGTACCAAATGCACTACCAATTATATTGAATGTACCTATTATGACCGTGCTGTTTTACCTATTAACGGAAAAGATTTTATAAGACTGGCAATATATATGTATAATATAACGCGTACTCGAATCATTTAGATTCGAAATTTCCAAATAGTTCAAATTGAAATCGTAGAAATTCAAATTCGAACCGAGTCTCACACGATTCGAGTAGTTCGCACATCTTGAGAGATTATTCTGAGATGCATGTAAAATTACCTGGTCCAAAAGGAGTGGGACCACACGTGATCCTGCCGATGTTGCTTCGATTAGATTTACTGTTCGCTTTGATATTGTCGAAAACATTAGTGTTATCCTTCAATACGTATTTTCTGAAATTGAGATACTGTTCTTTCTGTTGCTGTACTTTGGCGTGCACGCTTTGCAGTCGGCCAGCAACTGCGACCAAAGACTCGTGAAGCTTACTCATGGTCGTTGTTAGTTCTAGTGACAAAGCAACATTGCCGTTAACAATTTTCTTATTTAATCCGAATCAACTTATTTAACGGAAGAACCGATTGTACCTTGTGGTGTTAATGTTCTTGGCGCCATCATGGTTAGTATGTGCTTCTCGGTCGTCTCAATTTGCGATCGGAATAACATCAAATCTTGCTCGAAGCTTTCGGCTAATTCCATAAAGAACTGTAAAGGCGCATTATTCTCGTATTGCAAGCCCGGTGGAGTATCGTGTGTTCTTTGGGCTATTTCGGCGCTCTGCAACGCCCTCGCCGTGTCCTGCTTCAGTTTATCGGCCGAGGAACGATCTCGTTGCACCGAACCAGACAAGGTGGACAGGATTTCCATCAGGGACGCCGTATCTTCCGCGCATCGGTTCAATGGTCTCGCCGAGCCTCTCGCGATATCTGAAGATAGGCCTTTCTGTATTTTTACAAATTCCCTGTAAAGTACAATACACCAGCATGACATCTTGCGTGTGGCCGTCAAAATAATTCATCTATCTACACTCGAGCCAATTCTTTCCATTTGACTGATTTTGTTGATAATTACTTGAATTTATCTATAGTTTGCATGAGTTCATTTGGCAATAGATTCTCCTTGGCTGCTGTCGAACTACTATTTCCTTGAGAGAGACCCTTATTATTCACGGAAACGTCCAAGCCGCCGAGTCCTTTACCAGTACTAGTTGCGGTACTGAGAATGGTCGTCGGCTTGGCGCCCAATAAAGTGCTTCCAGTTCCAGATCCAAACAAGGAAGCTGCACATAAATCAATTGCGACGGTCAACCACTACAATAATAAAACTTCCATTAGAACAGCGGATCACAAAATACACATACTGTTAGTGGTGGCTGTACCGAAGGTTAAACTTCCTGGTGCTGTCGTATTAGACGTGGCGCCGAATGTTAGAGCATTCGTCGTGGCCGGCGTGCCGAAGCTGAGACCCGTGAATAAAGGCGCGGACGTGGTAGGGGTGGGAAATAAACTGGGAGCAGTGGTCATTGTAGTAGCCGTGCTGGTTCCCAGAAGCAGACTGCTGCACTGCGCTAGTGTGGAAGTCGGCGGAGTACCAAATCCGAAGTTGAGACCTATGGACGTCGTCGGGGTGGCCAGGGCGCCGAACGTTAACGGGCTGGACGTGGTGGTGGCGGTGCCGAAGGACGTGTTACCTAAACCGAAGCCCGTCGTCGGCCTTCACGGCGGAAACAATACATTTGCAATTAGACACCGAATCTCCCACGAGGGAAGTAACGATGAAATTTAAATCCAATACAAATTTGTATTAAATGGGGGAAAAAATGTGTATACGAACTGTATCGGTCGCGGTATATCAAAGCTCTAATAATTTTTACTGTTTGAAGGTTAGGGCGCCGATGTCGATGGCTATATAGTTACTTTTGCGTCCCGAATCCGAAACCCGTGCTAGCAGAGGTGACGGCCGGAGATCCGAACGAAAACGCCATTTCTTCGCACGTTGAGCGAATACGTTACACAGGACAAAAAAACAATTTATTTACAATATCACATAAACACACCTCTCACCACACTCACTCGAGGTCGGACCGGTCGGACTCGCACGGAGCGGCGGGAACGCCGGGGGCATGCGCAGAAGAGGCGCGAATCGTTAAGGTGCAATTCCATGCGAGCGAAGAAAAGCCAACGTAAAGAAATAGTCAAGTAGATGTAAAAGTAAGCGTAAATACGAAAATTATCGCGTGGTTCAAGTCGAGTGCAAGTCGTGAATACTAGAATGCAGTGTAGAAAGAAAAAAGAAAAAATATATATTTACAACTGTGTAATGATATTAAAATAGACGAAAGTCTCGAGGTTGCGACAGTTTTCGAATTATAAGGGCCACTTTAACAAACTCCGATTAACTTTGTTCGACGATTAAAGCCCGCTGCAGACGATGCAGTGTAGAAAGAAAAAAGAAAAAATGTATATTTACAACTGTGTAATGATATTAAAATATACGAAAGTCTCGAGGTTGCGACAGTTTTCGAATTATAAGGGCCACTTTAACAAACTCCGATTAACTTTGTTCGACGATTAAAGCCCGCTGCAGACGATGCTATTTTTCCTGCTGGATTGCTTGCGATCTAATAAATTTTACTATCATTGCACCATTCAGCACTCAGGATTCCTAGTAATTTAGTAAATCGTAAGCAATCCAGCAGGAAAAATAGCATCGTCTGCCGCGGGCTTAACTCAATCAGCAGCGACTATGTTTACACGGCACTCTAATCGGGTTTAATAACATCCGTAGTTAAAGGGCTGGCCAATCACAGTCGTTCCATTCTTCTGAGGAATAGTTGTGATTGGCCAGTTTTATAACTACGGATGTTATTAAACTTGATTAAGAATGATGTGTAAACGTAGTCAGTGTCGTCAACATGAAGACTTGTGCTCGAGGCGTTTGCGAAAACATATTTTCACTTCCGGGAACTTAGCCGGCCAACTTTGACTTTTTAATTTCTTTCGCAGATCGTTTGTTGGTCGTTTGTAGGTGATTGTTGGCCTAATATCAATATTTGTTGGTTTTCAAGTTTTTTTTATAAATAAAGAAACAATCAGAGAGATTTACGCGTCTCGGTGAATTGCCGACGCGCGAGTATCAAATAATTTACGTCACGATTGCTCAAATTGATCAAGGGCTCGATTCTTGAATTTATTCGAAGGAGAAACGTATGCGAAAATTCTGCTCTTACAGAAAAGTTCACTTTACACACGAGACTTATATCCACTATTGCACGCACTGCGCGAGGGATCATAGTCGCAAGAAATCGACACAAGTTCACGGAAACCTCACTAAACGGGAGTCTCGAAGTCCGCGGGAGCAATTGAAAACAAGAATTCGGATCTGTCTCGCCTTGAATCACTTCTTTCTCACAAATAAACTCACTCACCGACCACGGAACAACGCGCGAACAACGCCAAATCACGTACGAAACTGAAGAGGGCGGGGGAGACACGGCGGGTCCGGAAAGTCCAGCGGCGGCGGTGTCCAACGTTTATCACATTCAGCGCGAATATCACAGAATGTTCGGCACACATTTAGTTCGCGACCGTAATCGAACTTAATCTTTTCACGCGCGAGAAGGAAGTCCGCGCGGGCGACGGAGACAGGCGCGCGAACAGGAATGAACAGGTATCGCCTTATAGTGCGCGCTACGCGCGGTCGAGCCGCCGACCGCCGATTGGCCGCGCGCGCGGCGAGCCCCCCGGATCCAGCCAGTCGCGCTCGCCCGGCTTGCGGCCGGCGGCGGCTCGAGCCGCCGCACCGTCGCCGTGCCCTTGACCGTACGCTGAGTCGCGTAAACGTTTTTATTACATTCCGCTTCAGTTAGCGCGTGATTCGCAATTGTTTTTTGCTCGGCGGTTCAACGTACGTGCCGAGGTGAATTAGGAGTCAGTCGCCCGCGGGATCTCGAGTCGGCGGGACGTGTTTCGTGCGTCGCACGACCGTTCGAGCCGCCGAACGCCATTCTCTCGGGACGAAGCTTCCCCGCGAATCGGCCGATCGTTCTCGAAGTTTCTCGGCCGGCGGCGCAACTGTGAGTGCGCGCTTCCAACGCATTCTCGAGACTCGGGAACGACGTTTATTACCTTCCGCGTCGGCTGGTGCGCGATCGTCTATTGTCTTTCGTTCGGCGTTTCAACGTGCGTAGTGAAGCCGGAGTCATTCGCCCGAGGGATGTCAAGTCGAAAGGGTGTGTTCGTGCGAGCCGCTCATCGGCCAATCGCTTTCGACGTCTCTCAGCCGGCGGTGTAACTGAGCGAGCACGGCGAGCAAATCTGAATGAATTCTCAAGACTCGGAAACAACGTTCGTTACCTTCCGCGCCGGTTATCAAGTGATACTGTGGATTCTTTTTTCGTTCGGCGTTCGACGTACCTGTGCGACGAAGTGACTCGGTGCCGGCGGCCGGTTAATTCGCCCGAAGATTCTCGAGCGGACAGGAAGCGTCCGCGAGTTACTCGCCGCGCCGCAACGTTTTCCGCTGTGTGGTTGGCACCAATGTTCCTCTTTCCGCGGGAATCGTCGGTTACGCGCGCAACGATTCGCGAGTGTATCAAGTTTGTCGAAACGGATGCGTAGCGGCTGTGTCGGTTACGGATCGGGAGACATTAAATCGATTGCGAGAAAAAGGACGAACAGTGGATGTGTCGCGCAATTCACTTCGAGGCGGAGCCGTCGAGACGAGGATACGGGAATTGTGAACTGTTTCGTTGCGCCATTCGCGGACGGTTGCTCGCTGCGTCGTGTCTGGATTTGAATGTGGCCGTTTCTCTCGTGCGTCGTCGCGTTCCGTGTCGATTGACAATTTATCTCCGATTCTTCGCGAAAGGAGGAAGAGGACCGAGTGCGCGAGTGAGTGTTAGTGTTAGTGTCGCGTCGACGGAAACGGGCGCAGCCGGCCATCCGAGAGGACAGCCTGAGAGGAGGAGGAGGCCTGAGCAAAGGCATCGGGCATCAGCGGAGCAACCTTGCGGTACTTATCTTTTTTTTCTTTCATTATCTTTACTTATCTTTCACTTTGCGCAAACGCGATCTTTTTCGCCGTTTTTTTTCCGAGTCATTGTATTGCACCATAACTTAACAATTAGAGAGAAAGAAGTAATTTGAGATTTTATTAAAGTTCGTTCCCGTGAATTGTTTTCGAAAGACGTTTAATTATTTAAGTACAAATATTTTATTGATTAGAAAGTTCATTATGCGTAAGAAGTATATTTTAAAACTAGTTTTTAACATTATTTGAATATTAATTTTATGTTTATGCATTACAGAATCATCGTAGCGACGTTGCAGTTATAACTCCGCTGTTGCGCGTCAGGGTCGGTGAGTGCTAAATTAATTTTTATTATTGAGGTAACGGATCTGTGGTAGATTTGTTGAATATACATACCAATGATGCATATATGTATTAATTTATTAATAATGTAAAGATAGCAAATAGAAATGTAAAGCATATTTTGCATCCGTTACCTTAAAATTAATAAGTTAAAACAGATTAGGAGAAATTTAATCCTGGATCTTACAATTACATATCTTTTGTTGCATAACGTAGTGTGTATACGAGAACGTACTCTTGCACACACTACGTACAAAGTAAAAATTGAGAATACCACGAGAATATATAATATTTATTAATTATTTTAATTAACAATGTTATTTAGTCAATTAAAGTTTTATTCAGCACATATGTGCATTACATTATTCTTCATAAATATACTGACAAAGGAAGAAAAGGTAATAGATGAAACACAATTATAACAATTGAGATATTGACTTTTAAATTTACTGCTGTACTTAAGTTTTCTCATGGTATTCATACATATGTTGTAATCCACAGGGAATAAGTATGAAATGTTTATATATTGTTATTTATGAAATATGCTATTTGTTATTACTGCTATTATTTCGTTCTCCATTTCACTACACTCTTTTGTCCAGGATTAAATTTTATATAAGTTAGTGCAGAAAAGGAATATATAAATATTCCTTTCTAAGTAGTATTGTTAATTTACTTATATACGTTTGTATTGTAATAATTAAATTACAATACAAACGTATAATTATTTTAGCGTAATATATTTCTTACAAATTAGCAATCTATTTTTTATAAAAGATACTTATGGTTACTGAATCATTATTACCTACTTTGACGCACTAACTTTAGCCTAAACTGTTATAACTTATATGTAGTTGTTGATAACTGGATTGTATACCAGTTAGTATTACGACGTGAGATCCAATATACATTTTGTTATGAAAGAGGAGACTTAGCTCTTTCTAGAAATTATTTTAAAATCGATCGGTTTCGAGTTTCGATATATTCGCGATCGGTTTTCGCGTTTGAGTTTCGCGATCGGTTTTTAAAAACATTTCCAAAATATTAGTACTTTTTTAATTTCATCCATATTAGAAATATGGATAAATTGACGCGGTAAGTTAACGCGGAATATAATTAAAATTAATATAACGCGAATTGAAATGTTTTCTATGTATAGACTTGAATTTTGAATTCAAAGATTGAGTCACAAAGAGACAGTCAATATTCGCGAGTAAATAGTATCTGTCGTGCAGAAAGGTTCTTTAAGTCTGGATCTCACGTCATTTATTTTGTATATGTATGTCGCGATACACCTTCAAGATGCGTGTCGCATGAAAAACATGCATAATCATACGCATCTTTATACATCCGCGATCGGTTTTCGCGTTTGAGTTTCGCGATCGGTTTTTAAAAACATTTCCAAAATATTAGTACCTTTTAATTTCATCCATATTAGAAATATTAATTTATCGCGGAATATAATTAAAATTAATATAACGCGAAGTAACATGTTTTCTGTGTATAGACTTGAATTTTGAATTCAAAGATCGAGTCACGGAAAGTCAGTCAATACTCTCGAGTAAATAACGGAAGCAGAAATATATTAAATTAGTTTTATGCAGTAAATTTTTTCGAATTAAAATTCTTTCTTAATTAACTTCTCGTCTTGTATTTTTCGATACGATCGACGCTCGTATTCAAATCATATGTAATATCTGTCGGTGACGATAACGAACCGATTATGGAAGGAGTTTTCTTCCTTCCTGATCTCTGGTCAAAATGACTAGACTGTATGGCCAGGAGCAACGAAAGGTAGGTCCAATCTGGTCCGACGAGGGAAAACTGAATACGACGGGGTAAGTGGTCAATATTGACCACTCTGATAGAGTATATGTATAAGTAAGGTGATGTAGAAAATAATTTGATTTCTTTCATGTGTCAAAATTCGGGTGGGTTATTCTTTTTTATAATATATCCTCGCATGTGTGCGAGACTGAAAAGACCCCTATTTTAAATCCCAATCGCGCGCGTATTATAATCCCAAATCAAACCTTTTATAAATCGCGTCGCGGTTTTAATAAACGACTTTTAGGTCTATTAAAAAAAAGTTAAAATACGGGTAGGTAGGAAAATGGATATCTATTTTACATTGCAAGAATTTCATGTTATTGTATGCATACCGAATATTTCATATATTAATTTCGAAAGTATTGAATTGTACAATTTTAATTTCATAATGTAATTATTTCTTTTATAATATTGTACACATTGTGAAGTAACTTATAAGAAAAATAAAATAAATAGTAAAAATGTAAAAATCAAATTGTAAAGAAAAGAGGACCGTCGATCGACATCGGCGGGGGTGGTGGAGGGTCTCTATCCTGTGAGAAATGATTCGTCGATCGATGTCGAAACGACGTCGAATCGACATCATTTCGACATCGATCGACGAATAATTTCTCACTGGGTATAGATCAATTTGTTTTTATCGAATCAAGTTTTAATCGATAGATTTTCGTTTGTAATTGATCGATAGATTTGTCTTTACAATTTGAGCTACACGCTAGGCACAATTACATGTATAGCATTGTGTAACATTTTTTATTAATGTTTTACATCGTAAGAGTCACGTATTATTGTATGCATATTACATGTTCATATGTAATTTTATGTCATAAAGAAATATGGTGCAAATTGTTATTTATATTATGTTTTTAATTTCACTGTATAATCTATTCCATCTTTTACAGCTTTGCATGTATTGAAAATTAAATTGTAACAAAATTAATTAAATGATAAAGACGTAAAAACACAATTATTGCAAAGAAAAGAGGACCGCTGAGAAGAATTCGGCGGGGGTGGAGGAGGGCCTCTAAAAAGTTGATCTAACGATTGCATCTAGCAGTTATTTAAAAAAATGTGTTCATTTCCAGCGTGAGCGAATGTCTTAAGGCCTGTGTCCACGATGCTAGAACTTGGCCCAAGTTGGTCCAAGTTCTAGTTTAGGGAAATGTATAGCCAATCAACCTGCAGCTTTAAACACCGGTTGGACCAATTTGTGCCATCGTGGACACGGGCCTTGAGGCAGCTTTATACACTATGGTTATATTATGGTCGAAGTCGCCCGAGCGTGGGCGATTGGCCCGCTAGCGCGCATGCGCCAACGAGCGGTTCAGCTGTTGCGGACAATGGCGACGTCTCGGCGGACGGTGTGACATCCCGACAGGCTAGATGTTCCCGCTACGCTGCCCGGACGCGGCTGCACGTACACGCGCATCGGTTCGCGGACGTTGAGAGCGAATCCACGTTACGCGGCCCCGGGTGTCCCGCTCTCCTTTCCCCTCTCTCTTTCTCTCTCGTCACGTTCTAGCCGCTCTCGCGATGGCTGCGGTGAACGCGAACGCGCTCTCCAGTGACATAAGCCGTAGGAATCCCCAGGACGAGTATGAACTCATCCAGAGGATAGGCAGCGGGACCTACGGCGATGTCTACAAGGTCGGTATTCCCGTCGCCCTGATCCTCCCGTCCACGACTACTGCAAGATGTCGATTACCGTCTTTCCTCTTCGCAGGCTAAACGGCTGTCCATGAACGACCTCGCAGCGATTAAGGTTATCAAACTGGAGCCAGGTGAGCGCGATGTTCACGAAGTGTCCGGTGTTATAAGGTTCTCGCAATCGGCTTCTCTCGTCCGATCATTTGTTGATTTTTCATTAAGTGTCAGTAGGTTTTTTTTTCTCCATACGAGTCACGCGAAGTGATATGGAAGTGTGATATGTTCGCGTGTACTTTGACCTCGTAATGAAGGTGCTGCGGCGTTACAAATTTTGTTACAGTGTCACCTCTGTAGGATAGCCTGCAATATCTGTGTGTCTTTTAGGTGATGACTTTGCAATCATTCAACAGGAGATTCTAATGATGAAGGACTGCAGGCATCCAAATATCATTGCATATTATGGCAGTTATTTGAGGAGAGACAAGTTGTGGATATGCATGGAATATTGCGGAGGTGGATCGTTGCAGGATATATATCATAGTATGTAAAAAAAATATATATATATTTTTCTTCAATGTTCAGGTCTGAAAAAGCGTCAAACAGTTTTGATCATCGAAATATTTGAATGATATTTAAAAGGAGGAATGCACAGACTTATGTTTATTAACTTATAAATGTTGAGATATATATAACATGCAGTCTTAAATTATTTTAATTTTAAATTATAGTTTGTGATATTGAGTTTTAACATATTTCTAGTAACTGGACCATTAACAGAAATACAAATAGCGTATATGTGCCGGGAGACCCTTACTGGTTTAGCTTACTTGCACAGCATGGGCAAGATGCATCGTGATATTAAGGGTGCCAATATATTGTTGACCGAAGCGGGCGATGTAAAATTGGCAGACTTTGGCGTATCGGCGCAGATCACTGCGACGATTAACAAGAGAAAGAGTTTTATCGGTACACCTTACTGGATGGCTCCTGAGGTACAGTCGTGTTTATCGATAATTATGTGACGCGTGTTCTACAATTGCAATTGGAGAACCGGCACAGCTGATATATATTTTTTTCAATTTTTGATACAGGTAGCAGCCGTGGAAAGAAAGGGTGGTTACAATCAATTATGTGATATCTGGGCATGTGGAATAACCGCGATCGAATTGGCGGAGTTACAGCCGCCGATGTTCGACCTCCATCCAATGCGCGCTCTGTTTCTCATGTCCAAGTCTGGCTTCAAGCCGCCGACACTGAAGGATCGCGACAAATGGAGTCCGACGTTCCATAACTTCGTCAAAATTGCCCTTACAAAGAATCCGAAGAAAAGGCCGACAGCAGAAAAGTTGCTTCAGGTTCTTATTTTATTATTTATTTTATTATAAATACAATTTACTAACAAAAAAAACGTTGGAAGTAATATTTTCGTCAAAATTGCATCGATGTTATGACTAATGGATGGGATATTTTGAATTATAGCACGCGTTTTTCCAAGGGGAGATGAGCAAGAGACTGGCTTTAGAATTATTGCAAAAAGTTTCGAATCCCAGCCATATGTTTACGGATTTGGAGGCCGACGAAGACGGAGCAGTGCCCAATGTTCCGCAGAGAATAGCCTCACGTCATACCGCAAGGCCTAGGCCGAAAAGTCCTATATCGCAACTGGATAGTGACGGTAAGATTAATAATAAGTAATAAATAATAGATAATGTAAAATGAACATCTTAAGCTGTGACGAAATCGTGATTATGATTTGTCTGCAGATCAAATCAACATCGATGGAGGGACATTACACAGAGACCCTATGTCACCATCTGTGGACAGTAATCCAGCATGGGACATTATGGATATCATGAATAATGTCAAGGTAAGTTCATTGCAGACGCGTATTGCTTGATGTATTATTTATTGAATATATTTTTCATGCAAAATATAATTGTAATGTACAAGTATTTTCCAATGTTATAATAATTATAGCAATTTAAGCCCCGATTTATATCAGTTATATTACATGTCACATTTTTATGCGTACCCGTAGGGCGTGCACAATTGCGATGTACATCCAGACTGTGGGATTGGATCTGCGTTTGAAGACGTCCAAGAAAAGTAAGTGATTTTGTACTTTATGCCTTTAAATTTTATCACACATATTATGTGCGGAAGACACCGATAATATCGAAGCTTTTCTATTATTACCTTTCACTAATATGGTAGTTGCTGTTTTGTTCGAAATTGTAAATATATCCGTCTTATTACGTGTTCCGAAGGAGATTCCAAAAATCGCTATATAGTAAGGTTTTTTGTGGACTTACATAACGTACATATCTATACATTTCTTACAATATATATATATATATATATATATTGTTATCTTCTATGTACATATTGATTAAAGCGATATAGATTAAATTGTAAGTTCAAGGTAATCATTATATACATTGCTAAACAAGACAGCAATATAGTACACATCATATTATAAAAATCACAAACTTCTTACTTTTGGCTAATAGTACATCACTAATATGTACATCGCATATGGCATGTACGCTTACGCTTGTATCATGTCATACTAGTTGTTAAAGTGAGAGAAATATGTACATTCATTACTTTCACACTTGAAACAGCAGCACATCATATTCTGAAATATCTTAATAAGTTTGGAATTTTTTTTTAACAACGCAAAGTATAAACGATTGGAAAGGTATTATTAAATGTTTGAGTATAGACTTGGATTTTTTTTGCAAGTTTTGCCTTTCAATATTATTGTTCTTATTTTTCTCTGCTTTTATTACGAATTTGAAACAATTTATTTTACTGGAAAAATTGTGATAGTATATTTTTCAAAGGCATACTTATTTTTGTATTAGTACACTTGGCGCAAACCTTAAGACAAGTAAAATATCGAAACGTCGTAGCAAAACTGGCACAGAGATATTTCGTATGTCTCTAAGGTAATACAAACATTGGTTTGAAGTGGAAAGTTTCTTTTTATTTTTAATATAACAAAAACGTTTTTATACCAAAATAAATTATTTACTTACTTTTATTTACTTAAAAAGCCATTTACATTCATTTTATTTTGTAAAATGCTTTGACTGGTTTGTTCCTGAATGATGAAAAAGTCTTGTAGTGTTAAAACGAATCAAATTATATTTCTCCTTGTAATAAATAAAAAAAAGTTCTATCAAAGTAATTTTGAAAAGTGTAAATATGGAACGTACACATTTGTGGACAGAGTTAAGAATTCTAGACATTTAACCAGATTTTAATCAATATATAATTAAACTTTTCTATATAACAAAGACAATTATATATGTATTGCACATACATATAATTTCAGTAGATTTAAGAATATATTGTACATATACAAAATTACAGTACACTACTTTTGCATGTTAATAAGTCATAAATGTGATTGCTTGTATGACATTGCATGATAGCAAAGTTGTGTTATGCATTTTATTAAAGTAAGAAGGATCACTTTGAAATATATATATACATTAACCTAATCCACCTACTAGAATTATTTGAGATAAGATTGAATGGAAATTAATGCTTTACATTTATAATTATATTCTTAACACAATTCTACAGAAGTGTTGAAGAAAATTTGTCAATGAGACTTCCTTAGACCGTCGTTTAGTTTGTACAGAAATTGAGATTATTCCCATATTCTCGATATATTTTAACAACATAGTATTCGGTCATAAAATATTTCTATCCTGCCTCTGTTAGTCCTTGCTCCCGTAGCACACCTGCTCTATGCCCCAAGTTTAATTTTGTAATCCATTCCCGTTATTCTTTGTATATTTTTAATTTTTCTGATCAGTTTGTAATTCTAATAATTTCTCCCAACAGGAGTCTATTGCAGTACATTGATGAGGAGTTGTTGCTAAGGTATTGGCAGGTAACCCCTTTCCCTTGCACCTTGCACCTTGCACTTATATCTCCTAATTGCATTACTCAAACGATTATAATTCGGCGTTTACTCGCTTACGTTTCTTTTTTCTTTTATTGCAAATATTAACATAATTTTAATTAATGCATTTTTATTATTTTATTTTTATTTGACTCCTTTGAAGTTATATAATTTCCAAATTATCCCTTACGCATTTGAGTTGAATAGGATATTGTATAATTTCCAAGTATATATAATTGAGGAAACTAGTTTAATTAATTATGTTTCAAAAGAGGATATGTTTGTATTATATTATGTTATAATATTTTAACATAACTAAACGACACTGAAGCTACATGCATATAACGAAACTGATTAAATAATATAATTATATGTCAACTGAAAAATTGAAAATATATAACAAAAAGGAAGTACAACTTTAACTAAACAATCTCACAAATTTAATCGACATTCATAGTATGATTTATAGGAAAACATAATATGCACAATTTTTAGATATAGAATGAAGTATGTTTCCTGTTACGCATTTGATGTTACTTGTTGCATGTTAGTTTTTTCAACATTCTAAACACACTGAAACTATCTCTGTAGTGTGTCAGCCGTACTGGTGAAGGAAGTTTATACATATATGTATATATAAAATGTTTATTAATTAAAATTTTCTATTATATAGGGTTGCCTCGAGATATTCTTTTTATATTGTTAAATTGTTAATATATTTACAACTACTTGTCACACCGCGAATTTTAGACGCAATTTGCGAAAATCGATTGCAACTATATGATTGCCATAGACTTTTTAAATATATTATTGGATACAATATTAAGATTATATTTCAGGAAAATGTGTCGATGTCCGTTTAATCGTTTCACAATATTTTTTTATGTAAAAATGTGATATACATATGTGAAAAGCAGAAACAGTATCGATCGTTTTACCAAGTATTTTATTTTTTTTATGTATTTTATTTATATATATAACATTATATTAAATATATTGTTTGCAAAATTTCAAGGCGTATGTGTAGTCATACATCAAGTAGCACCACAAAACTAGTTTATAATTTTATAGTATATGACCACAATTTCACATGTGTGCAGGGGGAATGCAATGTCGATGGTTGGTGGGCATTGCGACCAGCTATATTCCCTGCAGTAAGTAAATAATAAATTACAGTAAACACACAATTTTATTTCTGATTTTTTCAGTTGATAATATATCGTGAAAATATGACTTCTTTTATTATGGATGACTAATCAAAATTATTAAGATCATAAACATATATCTTGAGTATACCTTGAACATATATAGGATTATGCAAGTAATTATTACTTCAGTAATATATGCTTGCATCTGCAAAATATTATACACATTCTTTATTAAACGATATAGATACAAAAAAAAGTTTGATTCTATCCTGCCAGGAATATTAATGGCTACGTTATCTGTTTCTGCGTATGTGATTTATTTAACTAGCAATATATGTTAATTTTATTCATGTATTCCGTAACACCAGAATAGGCATTATTATGTACGTTCGTCCTCATTAACATCTTAATAACGCGCCTTGCGTACTAAAATTTGCTAGAAATATTCAGCTTTATTTCTCTAACTTTTTTATCATGCATTATTCGATTTTTTTTTCATCCAAGATTACTGTATGCCCCAAAAAGTATACACAGTCCGAACGTTTTCTAATATATAAATTGTGTTAATAATCGTTAACGTATATACACTTTGTTCATTTTCTATGTATTACTCGTTCTTTATTAACAACGTTTATGTTTCTTCCTTCATGACGATTTAAAGCAAACGATCGTGCGTTAACATTTGCTCAAACATTTTCTTTTTTAGAGCTACTCTTCCATTGGGAGAATCTTCGAACGATTGCGAAGTCCACTGTCCATATTATAATGTGTCCGGTGAGTAAATTATATTGTAAATTGATGAGAAGCATTGCGTTATGTTCGCACAGTCTATAAATCGCCCCCTTCTTTAAATCAATATGTACGCAAATGAAGAGTAGATTCATGTACAGGGTCGCAAGCGAGCCCCAGACGTCACAGCTCCGTGGACGAATTGTATGGTCTCGTCAATAGTTCTCAGTCTTTAACAGCTGTGAATGGGCAACGCCAACGATCATTATCGGACAGCGGCCCTAGGGACGAGCCCGCACAGTCGAACGGTATACATCACGAGCTTAGTACTTAAATAATGTTCACACGATAATATCGTAGCTTCTCGCGAAAAGATAATTTTAAGATCACTAATAGCTTTGCTCCATTCGCTTGTTATTTAATAACTTGCATAATCCTTTTCAGGTGACAATGAGATATCGGCCGATCGAGATAGGGAAAGTATGAGCCCTGACTTACTGTCAGACACACCGCCCGTCCCTCCGAGGAGAAGGGATCGGAAGAGACATACGCCACCGAGGCCCATCAGTAATGGATTGCCTCCCACACCGAAAGTGCACATGGGAGCCTGTTTCTCAAAGGTCAGTACACGAGAACAAAGACTTGATATTTTCTTGTTAAAGGATATATTAGTTATTTTTTATTGTTACAAATCAGTTTATCAGAAATAAATTATTCTTTTGTGTCGTTACATCGTAGATTATTCTTTAAATATATTATTTGTTATTTACTTGACTTACTTTAATTTCAAAAAGTGCTGTACATTGCGAAAATATCTGTTTATTACTTTTTGTCGCAAATGTTAATAGGTATTCAACGGCTGTCCACTGAGAATACACTGTACCGCAAGTTGGATTCATCCAGATACAAGGGATCAGCATCTATTGATTGCAGCAGAGGAAGGAATTTATAATTTGAACTTGAACGAGCTCCATGAAACTGCGATAGACCAACTGTATCCCAGACGTACTATCTGGATGTACGTTATCAAGGATGTTCTTATGTCTCTTTCTGGTAAGCAGATCTTGATCTACATTAATGCTGCTGTACGACAGACTGATTTGTATCCTTGAAATGATACGAGCAATGTGTATTACAGGAAAAACGCCTCAGTTGTATAGGCATGACTTGTTAGCGATACTAAGTAAACAAACCCATAGATTTTCGTTGCACATGAATAAAATACCAGAGAGATTAGTCCCTAGAAAGTTTGCTCTTACTACGAAAGTGCCAGACACGAAGGGATGCACTAAATGTTGCGTCGGGAGAAATCCGTACAATGGGTGAGTGAAAACAGCATTTGTATATTTTCTCTGAAAAAATGCGCATATTGCCCTTCGATCACAGAAAATTGTAAAAAAAATAACTAACTAAGGAATATTAGTGGTTTTTTTGCGTTAAAAAGATTGATATTTTATATGCGGAATAATTAACCGTATTTTAAAACTTGTGAAATAACATTTGACAAAAACAATGGTGTACTTCTTTATAGGTATAAATATCTTTGCGGTGCGATGCCGGCAGGTATATTTCTAATGCAGTGGTATGATCCATTGAACAAATTTATGCTTTTAAAACATTTCGACTGCATTCTGCCGTCGCCTCTAAATGTCTTTAAAATGGTTATCACACCTGAGATGGAATATCCGATGGTATGTGTATCGGTTAAACAGCCATATCAGCAAAACAAATTAAAACTGGACTTAATTAATATGAATTCGGGAGCGAGTTGGTTCCACAGTGATGAATTGGAAGATATGGACGGCTCAGGTATGTCATAAATATATCACAATAACTGTCTACAATATTTACATTAATCTTGAAAAACATTCGAAATTTTGATTTTTATGATGAAGAAAACGTATCGTCTCTTCTGTAATAAAAATGTTGTTTCAGCAACTGTGATACCAAGACGAGAGAATTTGAACGTTATTAACGTTACACAATTTGAAAAAGATGCAATTCTTGTTTGTTATGAAAGTGAGTATTATTAGTAAATATTAAAGATATCTTTAATATTCTCTAAAGCTACCGCATATAGTAGTATGTTATTAAATTGAACATTTGTGTATTTATAGATATGGTGAAGATGGTAACTTTACAGGGAAAACCCCGTATTAGCAAGAAGCAGCTGTCGGAGCTGCAATTTAATTTTCAAATTGAATCTATCAGTAAGCATAATGCATTTAATTTACTTATAATTCATACTGTAAGCTTCATAAATAAAATATTGTTTGTATCTTCAGTTTGTCTACCTGATAGTGTACTGGCATTTCACAAACACGGTATGCAAGGTAGAAGTTTCAAGAATGGCGAAGTTACACAAGAGATTAGCGATCCGAGTAGGACTTACAGGCTACTTGGTTCAGACAAGTACGTATTTAATGATATAATGGAGACACTCGCATATTAATCTAATACCAATTTTGAAGAATATTTGAGAAAACTTTTAACTATGGCATCTTGAACAGGGTTGTGATGTTGGAAAGTCACTTGGTTCACAGTGGTACATTGACTGAATCTGAAGGGGCCGATTTGTACATTCTCGCTGGACATGAGGCCAGTTATTGAGCATTGATCCTAAATAGAGGCGAACACGCGACCACACGCTGCATGGTCTCGCATAATTTGTGATTGAACTGCATGTAACGTGAAACGACTACGAGAACGGTGAGAGATTAAAGTATGCCGAGGTGAAAACTTTATAATTATTTATCTTACTGCGAACGTACGTGTGACCGGCACGATCAGCATGCAATTCAAACGTTACGATAGTCGCTGTCTCTCCATGTAGTCAATATCGCATAGACTGGTAGTTATTCGCGATTATCTTTATTTTTAACGAGACTTAGAGCTAGACGGTATTTTTAGTAGTAAAGCTATAATGGGGAGGAATAGCGACGTTTAACGAGAGGACAGAGTTAAGAGAGCGTATGTACGCGAAACTATCTTTATGCCTGATCAAATGAAGCTAACAATAAGCGCACCATTTCGAGAGGTATTGAATAAAGGCGATTTACTAGTTTATTTAGCTATATGTGTATAAATTACGCTCTTATAAATCGTAGAAATGTGAAAAGAGAGATCTAAAATAATATCTCGGGAATAGCCCTGTCTGGGAAGCTACGATAATGATAAAAGCTGCATCAAGTGGTCCAAAATAACCAGCCGCGTCGACGTGTTAAAGCTAACAATATAACAATGTGATATTTATCTTCAAATTCACCTTTCCGTAATCTCTAAAACGATGCACAGCAAAGAGAAATAAACAGAACAATCTATCTCCGAGATTTTTATTTTACTTTAAATATTTTTTGGTAGTAGGTACGTGACTTTACAAGAGCGTATTTTATGGAAAATGTTTTCCATGCTTTTCTGGCTTTAATATATAGTAAAATTAGCTAGCATACCGCCTTATTGCATCGTTCTGAACGCGCCAAGGTAACGAAGCTCTTGCGATGCTGTACAGATTTACCTTCCTAGAATTGCATTATATTCAATAGCTTTTAGCCTTCGAGAACCGTTTAATCGTAATAGCGTTTAATAGATTAAGAGTTCAACGTGTTTGTATTTTTAACGGATTTACTAGACGAGACGATATTTATATTCTTACACAAGAAATCGCGTAGTTTTCGAAGGTTAAAAGCGCTGTTGTTGCATCCGGGACATTCAAATACGATTCAACGGAGTAGATGTGTCTTCATTGTACAGTGGAATTTTCGTGTAATCGAATCTTTGCGGAATCTGTGTAACATTAATGACGATTATACGTGTAATTTAATATACGGGCTGTCTCACTTTTACCGAATCATATTTTAACCGACTTTGCGACGAAAGAACTTTCTCGGTGAAAATCTCGTGTTAACACGTTTAACGGTCTCTTTACTCTCTCGACATTACCTATCCTACAGTTTGTATATAAGAGATATAAAATTGAAGATTGAATGAGACAAATTCTGTTCAGTTGTACTAATTCTACTTTTGTTTTCCTAATGACTAGTACTCCGAGAAAAAGGAGACTTTTGTTGGAAAAAGGTCCGATTAGATCCGTTAGAAGCGTGACGCCGTATATCTTCTTCCAGAAACGGTCAACCATAGAGAAAACGACAACGATATAAAAGGAAAGTAGATCATTAATATATTAGTAGCGTAAAAACTTTTGAAGAATTCCATAGAGATGGATTTCCTATAGAGATTGTATAATATCGTGTATATATACGTATACACAGTACAAAATTCTCTTGTACCAATGTCACATTCTCGAAAACGTGCGTATTGAACTTATGTTACACCTGAGCTTCATTTCATTGGGCATGGGGATCACCTCGGTGTAATCCTTAAAGACATTGTGTTCATCAGTGTCTCTAATTTTGGGCAATTGTAAATATGAAACAGATAATTTGGCGTGACGACGACGATGATGACGAAGACGACAATGATGACGATGATAATGGTGTTGAGCAGCGTTTACTTTGAGAACATTCGCCTGCGCGTTTGTTAAATATGAGTCGTTTTGCTTGCGACTGCAATAACGATGCGTGTCTGCAATGTCATTAACAGTTTGATTTCAACGTAATGGCGATCTGTAATTCATTTATGTTATTTCGTTTTGCGAAGTAATCCTCGCGGATCTATCACCAAGTTAGTGCTTTGATGAAAAGCGTCCTTGTGATATATGCGACAGGAAAGGGCACTCAAACAAAATAAAGCAGCGATATGGTCAAGTTTCATCTGTGATTTGGTATCAAAGAATCCGAATCGCAATGTTCATCGTTCAAGCCTTCTTCGTAAATCAGTCGTATATGGTACGTATAATTGTGTATCAGAGAGCACACAATACGCGAATCTGTTTGTAGCGCAGCTCTTTCTTTATATCCAATAATTTTTCGCATTGGTGACGACGATACGATTGTATATACATGTAAAGCGACGGAATAACTTCCATGTGATCGGTCTTAAGACTGGGAGAAATGCATTTCTTTGTTTTAACAAAAGAGTTTCTCAACTATACCCCGAAGAGAAAGGATACATAGGACTTCGGCATGAAAATGGTTTACGTCCACGTATTATAAAGCTTATAAAGCGTTTAACTTGATTCCACTGGTCTTTAATGTCATTTCATTTAATCTAATAAAATTTTATTTATTCGATTAAATTTTAATATACTATTTAAATATTTCCGAATTTGTTGCAAAGGTTTATAATCGATCTACTCATAAGTCGACATTTATAGATTAACATTGAGAAAACATTCCCCTTTTTTATTTGAAATATTCGACCAATACTGTTGTGAGTCATATTCACTAATCGCACAACTAATTATTAATGAATATGTTGAAGGATATTATTTCATTGTATTGTATAACGCTGTATTCTATTTGTATTTTCTTGCAGGGTCGATGCTCGAATTTAATATTATTTTTCAATATCCACTCGTTTAAAAGATTTCATTACGCACAAAATCAATTATTCAATTATCCAGTTATATTCTGAATACAAATAAATAGTGCGATTAGTCCATAAAATAATTAATATAGAAGTGTTTCGACAAGGTTTAGCGTTAATTACATTGGAGTGAAATAATTCATTTATCCCCAGTTGTTCAAAGAGGATTTAGAAGTTTTCGGAAATCTCAGCCTCGTGAGATACGTAGAACATACGCATTTTATTTGCTTCTTGAGCGTTATAATATTCGGCGTGCCGCCGCATGTGAGGCACATTTATTGTAAAGATATAAATATAGTATCCGGCACTTTTTCCCCACAAATTTCTGTCGTCGAGCTCTTGCAAGTTAATTTGCGTCCTTAATTTGCACATTTTAGACGAGGTGTAAAATGAATTGTAAAGAATCATCAGAGTAAAATGTATAATTATCCGCGGAATGTTAAACTATTTTGATATTTTATATGGACAATTTGCTCTGTATATTAGAGAGAGTAGATTACTGAAGAAAGTATAGTACTATACTATCGAGAAAAAAAAACAAATTAAATATATATTAGCGAAATTGTACGAGTATCTCAGTGAATTTGTTGTTTCTGCTAAGTCGCTTTGTGGCGGAAATTGCGCGTTTAGACTTATGTCCGGAAATTCATTTGTATAGCATTTTTCTAGAGAAATTTAAGGATTTCTTAGTCATACTCGGCGGGCAAAACTCCATTTTGCTGGCAATTCGTTAGCACTTTATCGGTAATTGATTCCATTCTATTAGGTAACAAAGGTGAATCTAAAGATAACAAAGGTGAATACAATGCAGATGCGAAGACGCGGAAATCTACTCGTAATACGTAATTATAATTGTTGCTCTTATGCAATCAAACACCAAGTCGACGTTTAATCAAATTCTGCGCTGACTACACATTATTCACATGTACTAAATATAATAGAACGAGCAATGTGTCTTCCCGTGATTTGCAAATAGCACACTGTATTGCTAGACGTGTTAAATGTATTCGCAATATAGTATTTGACAGAATCCGTCGATTTATCTAGGAATCCAGTTTTGTTGATACTAATAGAGTTATTCGAGAGAATTATTGTACGAAACGTAAGTCTTCTTTTTACAGCAAGGCAGTCCCTAATTTTTCGCGACGTTCTTATTATCTAGGAGGAGAAAGATTGTGATATATGTCAAGTAAAATGAGAGCTATCTTTATTTTAGGCAAGATATAATTATGTTATTAGAAAGTTCAGTCAAATGGAAGGATAAAATTATTTCGTTCTCGTGCGTGATTATTTGAGTAAGAGTTCCACTTTTTTCCGAAGACATGTATTCACGAGATATTTTGATAATGACGGTAAATAGTAACTGCAATGTTACCTGACGTGACTTTTTGTATTATTGTAAAGACAATAATTTTATTCGGAGCGTCGTGCACAAATCGTGAGAGAAAAAAGAAGGACAGACACATTGGCATAAAGGTATATAATATTAAATATTTGAATCTATAAAACGGATAAAGTAGCGAAAAGTGAAAAAAGACAGATCAGAGTAATTAGAAAGTTTTAGTCCCCTACCACAGACCAAGTATTAGAACCGTGAGAATTAGAGAGACAGACATACACACGTACGTACACACAGTTTGTGTAGATTTCACATATCTGAATTTTGCTCGCGACCGTACACACAAATGAGAATTTTATTTTCACGAGAGAATAGAAAGATTAGAAGATACGTGTGTAGGACACATCGATGCCCGCTTCCTTCATTTTATATTATACATAAATAATTTATATTTTTATCATGTCTCAAACTTAAGTCGATTGTTTCGAACGTGCAATACGTAATAGCGTAATAACGTAATATATTAAAATTCATTTATTGCCTGAATGGAATGAGACAAGTTGAAAATGTTAAAAAATATTTAAAACATGCTCAAGAAAGAAAATACGCACATGTGATTGATATTCTGCCAGCAAGCTGTTGCATCTTATCCGCAGTGTCATATACCCGTGCTCTTTTTAGCGATCTTCGAAAAATTCCTTCTGTGCAGATATGTACACGTATAAGTGCTAGGACAATTAATACAGCGATAAAATGTACCTGTACACCGACCATATTGATGGTTTGCCTCTACATATGGAAGTTTAAGTTTCGAATTCTCGATTTTTGTGTGTCTGAAACTTCGAAGTTAACATAGCGAATTTGTAGTGAGACAGTAACGACTATTTATTCCTTCAGCTGTCCCTCGGATCTATTTGAACTTGATTAATTGCTCTTTAAAAAGACATCATTATGATATATTTATATTATCTATAACGTCTTTCAATTATTGAATGCAAAAAAAGAACTTATGTTAGAAACGTTAGTTACATCAATTGGAAATCTATTCGATAAGATTTTCAAAATTCCACTATTTTTCTTAGGAAATCCTAGCATATTCATGCTGAATCCTACACTGTATGATTATTAGATGCGCGTTCTATTTAATTACGTTGAAAAGTTATTGAAAAAAAGCTTGTCTTTATCAAGCCAATATCTATTTTAGGACACCAGAATCTCAAAATTGAAGATCCATATTTCTGGTAGTTTCCAATGGCTACGTTGGTTTAAAGAAAAACGCCACTCAAAATTCAATAAGGATAAGGATCCAAGGGATAGAAAATCGAGCACATGTACACACGGCTTATTATTTTCGATCAAGAAGATGACGATTGATAACACGTGCGTTACGTTTCGTATGCAACAGATACAAAATATTTTAAGAGGCAAATTCGTGAATTATCGTAAGATGGATGAAAAAAGAAATATATATATATATACATAAACAAATATATTTAATAAAATTCCTTGACATATATATTGTAAATTCAAAGAGATATTCATTAATCTATAATAGGATGGATTCCGATAATTTTGTTAATTAGCCGGTGGTGTTGAAGATACGAATTGCCGATATATCAGTAGTTAGTGACCAAAGCCGTAGCGACAAATAGATAACGCAATGAATGAACAAAACTTATTCTTACAACTGGAAATTAGGGGAGCGAGCGAAAAGGAGATATACCGTGTTACAACGTACAGAGAATTTAGGAATAAGGAGCTTCTGCTATATAAAATTCTCACTAAGTGTTACTCCGTTATGATATTTAATGCTCACGTAATTATTTATTTAAAGAGTACTGCGTATGATGCTTTCCTCCAAAACTTTTCACGGCACAGATAGCGGAAGTTGAACGACTAAACAATGACTCTTGTTACATTGTGCAAGTCCGAGACTCGTTGTGAAAGAGGTGAACGTTAATTTATTCTTCATAGTCGGAAGCTACGTATTAGCGACAAGTATTAGCCGCAGATGAGTATAAGCGTTTCTTATAAATATTAATTGGAACTGTAACTAGCAACTAAGTCTTGTAATTACGAAAGCTGTATATAATGTGTATAACGTATTATATATGTTAATCTTGCGTTCGCCGAACTTTCATTTCAGTCATTTTTTTTATATGAATGCAGCATTGTGAGAATAATTTATAATTATAAACGTATTTAATTTACTTGTATCTATAAAAGCAACTAGCCAAACTTCTGTAAATAGACTGTCTCGTAATAAAATCTGTCTAAGGGAAAAATAGATAGATAGATAGACTTACCTGAAAATGATTTATATTCCGAGTGTACTAATTTTGCTTAAGGTGCACGAAAAATTCAGAACAGACTTTTATAGGTATATGAAACTTTACATTAATACAAACCAATAACACATTACAAATACATCCTCTTGTTGCCAATGTTTTAATTATTGATTATGGTAACACGCCAACGTAAGAAGTCACAGTTACATACAGAAACAATATTAGAAAATAATTGAGAATAAAATTTGTTTAGGTGACACGAAAATGTGCACTTTCAAATTCTCTCTTAAATTACAGTTTACTGATGATTTTTTTTCAATCAAACACAGCGCTAAATGGCTTCATAAATGCTTCATTTAATTAAAAACTTCCGCTCTATATAACATAAGTAATATCAAACAATACTTAACATACAACAGTCTATATAGTGAATATTAATTTTTTACGTTCCTATGACGATAACACGAACGTGAACATAAATGCGTTTTTCTTATTTACGCGCGCATCAACCACACATTAAAATATAAATTTCTTATATAATAATGGTATCACGTTATGTCAATGTTATTCTTCAGGCACATGTGAAAAATATTAAAATAGGACTCCAATTAGCTTCCCAACATCACGGCACCATGATTATATGAACAAAGCGAAGCAAACATTTTTACTTTCATTTAATGACAGAAAAAATATCAATATAAAAATAGAGATATTAAAGGATTGTTTTTATTGCATAACAAAATAACTACCGTCGATTGCATATATTTCGAATAAATTATTCGTTTTTTTAATTTCTTTTCTTCAATCGCATGCACATTATACGTTTTCTTATAAAATTATTTCTATTTTTATTTCCAATCGTTACAAAAAAAAGGAGAAATCCTTATTTTAATAAATTAAAATCCTATTTGAATAAATTTTAATAAATTTAAATCTTTAAGTTCCTTAGCTAGCATTCTTATATCATTACGTGGTGACTAAAGCAAGCTAGTCATCATTTGCACTTACAATTAGTATAATTGCTCATTATAAATGCTCATAAAATTGCTCATAAAAAAAATTAATTTAAGATACATTGTATTATACCTTCTCTATTTCTGACAAGAATATTTGCTTCACTTTTATCCACACGACTTACGCCGATTATGACTCGAGATTTCTATTGACTTTTGACATGCAATCCTCATCCTGTAGGCTATCCAAAAGTATAGATCACGTCTCGACTTGACCTTGCAGTTGACCTACCATCTTCCGTACCCAACCAGCCTGACTCTGCCCCGCGGAAACATCGTCTCTATCCATCTCGGTGTTTCGATTATAATCATTCGCAGGACTACTCAGTGACTGATGAGTCACATTCATCAGTCTCGCAGTAACTCTGGCCTCCGAATCACCGGCATGTCCCTTCGCCTTCAATAGAGACTTCATCTTCAAGTAATCCGGTTTCTGTGCAACGCTCGGCTTGCATTTCGCCGATGATTCCTGCTTCTTCTTAATGGGTACCGGCGGTGCGATCTTCGCCTTCGCCGTGAACGCCGTAGTAGTTATCGCCGTCGTCGTCCTCGTCGTTGCCGTTATCGGTGTCGACTGCCGCATCACGAATACCTCATCGACATCGCTGAATATTGCACTGTCCCGGAACGCCTCGTCCACGTCAGCGTCCGCATAATTCTCGATGGTCTCGAAACTCCTCTCGTAGAAGCTGTCCGTCTCGCTCTCGTGACGCTCCATATCCTTGCTGCTACCCGTCTCCTCTTCGCAGTTTCTCCTGTCCGACTCTGTGGTCTTCTTGGACTGATTAATATCAACGGAAGAGGAGTGTGCACGTTTGTTCTCAGTAAAGAGGATCTTTGGATCAGCATAATCCGACTGGGCAATTCTAGCGCCCAGACTAGAGCTGCCTTGCTTGTAGTAGAGTTGGGGAACTCGTTGATCATTCGAGCAATTCACCAATTCTTCCACGTCCGAGGACAATTCCCTCGCATGCTGCTTTGCATGCTTGGTCCGTCTCTTTGGATACTTGCCTCCGCTCAATGAGCGGAAATAGCGTGTTCTTTCGACCTCGTCGTTGCACTCGAGCGTCTCTGTGCTCATGGTATTTCTCAGACGACCCTGCAAACGGCTGCCAGCCTTGAGGACATTCCGGAAAATCGTACTGCCGCTGCTGTTGCCATTCGCCCGATAGATCTTATGATCGGGATGAATATTCGCACTATCGCTGGTAGATATGGATCGCACGTCGGAGTAAGTGTCGTCAGTCAATCGTGTATCCTCCAGCGAACAGAAGAACGTCGAACTGGAGCTCGTCGAGGCGGCGGGCATGGGGAATTTGGCAATTCTACCCTCCGGCTGGCACGTGGACGCGTACCTCTCCATGTCTTCCAGATTGATCTCTGCTGGCTTGTCGGACGCGATCGTGAACGGTCGCTCGCTCATCGGTTTGCCGTCTCGCTGCAGGAAGCGCGATTTCGTCACGTTCGTCGGCTGGGAGTTTGGACTTATCTGGAAACTGCGCGGTAGCGAGCCACACTTAGGTGGTGAGGTGGGCAGACCCTCGCACAACTTGGTGAGCCAAACGGCGGGCCGAGTCGGACTGTCGTTACCGTCGACGTCACCCTTCACCGTCTGCAAACCTTCCCAGACGTGCTGCAGATTGTCATAGTTGCCAAAGCCTTTGGACTCGGCGTCTCCCGCATCATTCGCGTCGCTCCTCTCACCGTTACGCCGTTCCGCTCCATCCTTTTCGATCCGCTCTGTCGTTAAAATAGAATTGATTTCCTTTCGCTCTACCGCCTGGTGATTTAACGCGCACGTTGCCGGGGACGATACGACGGTCTCCTCGTTGTCCGCCAACATTAAATTCTCGCGGATACGCAGCGCTGTTTTAATCACTTTATTCTCCGTGACGATGCTTTGTCGTTTGAACGTTTCGAAGAACGCCTGCTTTTCGTGCGAATGATTCGTCTTGCCGTTATGCGCGATCGTTTCCGTCGATTTCTGAGTAGTCTTCAGGTTATCATAGAGGAGTTGCAGTGGCTGCTGGTTTTCTCGCGCCGGTGCCGAGGACAATAGATTCCACGCGTTATTCGTCCTGATCAGTCGCTGCTCTCTATGTGTTGCCCGAGCGCGTCCTAATCTGTTGTTGCTGTTGTTGTTGGTCGAGCTGGTGATATAGTTAGCGTTCTCCGAATCACTCTCGTCCGACGTATCTGCCGAGATACGTTTATTGAAGCGTTGATGCCGCACGTTGATGATGCTGCTGGTCCGTTGTTTCTCCAATAGCTTCTGGAACTCTTGATTCTGCATGAGGATGTGACCGACGATCTCCTCCACCGTTTGCGCCGGATTAGCGTGTTGTTCATTATTATTTTCTTTGGCTTCAGCCGGTGGCGAGGAGTTCGCTGTCACCGTCTGATTTTCCTCCGTAGGAATTTCGACTGCCTCTTCGGTCTCGATCGTAGTGGATTGAGCATCGCCAGCGGCTTCTTCTTTTTGCTCCTCGTCCGAATGGTTGAGACAGACGTACGACTGGAAGCCAGGCTCGGACTTTCGTCTCCAACCGGTGAGTCGATCCTAAATACATTTGTCGATCTTGTACATTTCGCTGCTTTTTGCATGCCAAATCGTTACATATACATTATTCAAGATATTTCCAAAGTTTTCAAAACAAACCTAACCATTTTTACAGTCAGGCAATTTTTATAGAGATTAATGAATGCCGAATAATAATTTGTCATAACTCTTTGAAAACTGCACTGTTTTATCAAATGCAACAAACATTTTTTTAATATTAAAGTCAAGCGAGATAAAAGTATAATAAAAACTAAAAACGTTTAAAATAATCAAAAAGATGGAAATTTGATTTTAAAAAATAATAAGGATTAGTAAAACGTATAATTGAGAGTGTAAATTAATAATTTGACGAATAGGAATGATTTCTTGCGTTGTGCAGTTTACAATAATTATGTGACAAGTAGAAGAACATACGCTTACCTTAACTTTCGAAGTGCGTACATCCGAAGACCTGTTCAAAGTTGAGTCCCTGGAGTCATTCGCGTCTTCATTGTCATTTTTACGGGACGATGCAGGCGAATCCTAACGTTGTAAGAAAAATTCTCATAAAATTTCTTTCGTACAAAGAAGAAAACGCGAAGTAAAAGTGAAGTAAAAAAGCTTCCGCTAGAGACCTCACCTCCATTGTAGTATCGGATTTCCTGACACCCTTTTTGAACCTGTGCCTCAGACCAGTTTCGGATCTACGTCTCTCCCTCTCCTGCTTGCGCTTCTCCAAGTATTCCGGCGGGGCGGAGTGCTTCTTCGCCGATCCTTTATCCGTCAACGCGTCATCTGCTTGAAGCATCAAGTGCATTACTCTTTGGTCGATTTCACGTGACGCTTAAAAGATTCCAAAATGTTAAACCGTACCTTCTTGCTGCGTCTGACCCAATTGTAACACTAACTGTCTCGCGTGGGACGGTATAACCGCATTATAATTCTCTAGTATCACTCTCTTTATCTGTAACGTCCATTCTCTCTTTTGTTCTAGATTGCGTGCCTGAAAGACAGATGAACGATTGTTCAATGAGAATACAGTCCTCGCGTATGTACACTTAAGGCCTGCTTTCCAATCCATAAGATATCAGTAAGATATCTCGATAATACTTACTTGCAACGTGTACTGCAACCGAGGATTATCAAAAGGTATTACGTGAAAGCTAAGTGACTCTCCCGGAATACTTTCAATCAGCATTAGGTTTGAACACTAGAAGCATAAGAAAGCGATGAAAATACTTTATATACTTGCAGTTGCATTTTCTAAAAAACTAAATATTTAAATATTTGAAAAAGATGTTGGAAAAATGCAAGTATGTTTTAAAGAATTTCTATATAGAAATTAAAAAGTATATCTGGTATGAAAGTTAAACAAGCGACAAAGACTGTACAAAGAAGAGGCAACAGATGACGACGGGAATCGTACCATAATATGAGCTTTGTAGACAAGAAGACCATCCTCCTTCTTCTTCGTCAAAAGAAGCATCCGATCAAAGAGGAAGGCGTGCCTCGGGGCCTTGGCCCCTCGCATCCTGAAGCGACCTTCCGCGACCAATTCGCCACTTGTAGTTAGGTCTGGTCCCAACCAACCGTACAGAAGCGATTGAATTTCTTGAACACGTACGGCGTGCTCGTGCCGCCTCTTCATAGCATTGATGTGTTTCGCAATGCCAGTCATCGCGGCGAGCGCAGCCTCGATGGCACTTCTACCTTCAGCCTCATTCTCTCTCGAATCACAATCAGCGTCGTACTCCTTCGATAGGTTCTCCAGAAGCAGGTGATACTTAAGGATCCTCTGGACGGGCTTCAAAAGGAAGGACCCGAGCGGCAGCGCGTGCCTCAGAGCCGCTTGCCGTTCGCGAAAGGCGGACGCGGTCTCTTCCTGGCCCATTAAATCGGTCAGCACCGAGACTGTCCTCGGATAATTCGTACAGTATTCGGTGTACACCTTGAATCCCGAATTATGCTTGATGAATGTGTCCGCGACGCAAACGGGATCCAGACCGCATTTCTCTATCTCCCACAAGAACTCTCTATTAAATTCGAAGATATCCTCGATATTGCTAAACAGATCGCCGAGGTGCAACCGACGCGCGAACGACGACGGATTGTCCCTCCAGAATATGAGATAGCCCTGAATAACTTGACGCAGATGCTCCACGTAAATCGCCTCCGTGTCCACGATCTCAAGGAGCACCCTCTCGACGGGATTGCGATGCGGATCGCAGTAGCGCGGCCTATGGCACAGAGGATCCTCCTCGCTGTCCCTCCTCGGCCCGTTGTCGTCGTTCAACATCCGACAACTAGCTTCCGAAACCGTCACGACTCCGCTGTCCGCTGAACCCTGGGAGCTGGCGCAGGTGTCGGCGAGGGATTCGACGGACGCCAGATAGGGATTGGCGGTGCAGGTGTTGCTGCCCTGATTGCTGCAGCTGCTGGAAGACGTGCTGGACGCGATGGAGCTCCCAGAGAGCGGTCTACCGCCATTCCTGCGTCGCCTGTTATACCTGAGCGGGGTGGTGAGACCGTTGGTCTCCCGCCTCTCGTACATTGGCTTCCCAATGCTCTCCCCGTTTCCCACGTGCTCCAAAGCCGCTACCGGGATCACCGTCTCCACCATGGTGTTATCGGCGACGTCTGCGACGACCTCGACGACCTCGTCGTACTCGCCCTCCTCCCTCTTGCTCTTGAGCACGTCCTGGCGCACAGGCTTGGCTAAGTCGCCATTTGTGCAGAGCTGACCGAATACGGAGCCTCGATGGGCGACTGGTACCATGCTCAGGCGCTTCTGCAGGACTGCGGGCACGCTGCAGGACGACGGTAGGACCACGCGATCGCCTTCATAGCCGTCGCCGCGGCGCGCCAACTCGTCAAACATACCCAGCAGTTGCGGGACTAGATCCGTGCTTGTGCCTGAAAGTAAGTAATTCCGATTGAGAAATATCAGGGCTGCGTTATCAAATACCAATGAGACTTAACGATTAGCTTCACTATTTCCAGCGTAAATATATTTCTACGGCGCGATCGCTGTCAGATTTCTTTAATTGCTCGGCACATTTTCCGACAATTTATTTCGGGCCTAATTTTCTTCAAGTATTTCTTCGAAGTGACTCGCGACAGACGTTTCTCGGCGTTTAATTACGAGATTTGTCGCGCGAATTTTTTCACGGGCCACTCGTTCAAGCCCGTCATAAATCAGCAATATTGCGATTGTCAACGCAGATGCGCTCCTGGCAGAGAGAGAGAGAGAGAGAGAGAGTGTGTGCCAGTGAAAGAAATGCACAGATGAAATCTATTCTTATTAACATTAATAATAACCTTCAATTCACGCGAGAAAGACAATGGCTGCATTCGCGTGAAAATGCCACCGACTCTGTCTTTCGTGTAACGATCAATCATTCCCGAGCGTATTAGAGATTCTGAGAACGCCGCCTGGAAATTGCCGTGCCTTTCCTGGCACTCAACTTAATTCACCGAATGCAATAATTAATAAATGATCTCACGCGAGTCGTCATAGCAACGTAATGAAAATTAATTTTTCTCACTCTACGTGACATGTCGGAGAAATAATTTTGCGCGTCTCGTACTTATGCATCGCTGACCGTACAAATAATGACGAGTATCTTTCAACGCACGTATTTCACACGATATTTTCTTTTGCGCGTGCGAATCTTCAAGTCTGACGGAATTTTCAGGAAGAAAATCACCAAATTACTCATACACGAAACTCACAAGAGAAAATCATTCAACATTTACCGACACCTGCGAAGTCTCTTTTGCTCCTTTTTTTAAATAGACTTTCTCGGTTTCTTTGACAAGAATTATTATTTAATAAGTAAAGTTAAATCAGGACCTTTAAGATATAAATCAAATAGAAACCAGAACGACAAATCATACTTAGGTCCGGGCAAGCTGAAGGTAGCCTGATATTATTTTTTAAATTCAATATGTGAATTCATATATACCGTATTTTCCTGTGATCATTTTCATTGGCTACGTTCAGCAGAAAAAGCTGCTTTGCAACTGTAGTAAAATTCATGAATCTGATTGGCGTATACTCTTAAATTCATTGAAGATTAAGAGAATACACTAATTCACGAATTTTACAACAGTTGCAAAGCAGCTTTTTCTGCTAAACGCAGCCATTATTATTTAATATAAATTTCTTTGAAAAGACAAACGATCGTCAATTGGAAACCACGTTATTGGAATGTGGCGTTTTACGGGACACCCTGTACAGACACACAAAACAGTAAGAAATTAATTAGCACTCGTATATTCCCGTTTGTATCAAACCAATAAATTTACACGAGGCAACAGGATGCTCCTATTGACATATATCCGCGATATTTCATAAATCATTAAAAATTGATAAGAAACGGCGCTGCTGCCGTTGGCTGCGTTTATCGTTAATGCGATCGCCTTCAATTAACTCGCTACCCGTTTATCGACGTTAAAAGATTGGCGGACGACTTGCGCCGATCCGATTACATGCGCACAGACGAAAACCACGATATAATTACACACGTATGTAAATGTGTTCGCGTGTGCTTAAGCTCGTGTATGTCGATATTTATACGTACAGAGTAAAACCCAAACCTGCAGTCTTATTTCCTTAATGGCCAGATTCTTTGACAAATGTGGAAAAAGGGAGGAAGACAGAAGGGGGAGAAGATCAGACTACGTTTATTGGATTCCGCAGTTATCTGTGTGGATTATTCAAAGGGAAAATTTTTTATTTTTTTTAATTTAAAAAGTCGACCAGACTGGCAAAAAGTGATCTTTATTTAAGTCGTAACGTTTCGTCCTCTTTATCGGGTCCTTTTCAAGTACAATCTAATATTGGCTGAAAACATTAATTTATGCCGAAACAAAACGAGTCCATGAGTCTGTGGCAGCAAACTCATAATGTCATATATGTCTCGGTAGTCAGTGGGTTTTTTATAGCGATGTCAATTTCTAAAATTTCCGAGCAGCAACCGTACGTTAGCGGATCTCGAATAAAACTCAATGTGGTTTATTGTCTAAATAGCAGACTTAAATCTGTGTTAAAAAATTGGTAGTTAAAAACCGATTGCTCCTCTGCCCCCTTTCCTGTTGCGAATGTTCATCGAGGGGAATTGTATTTAAGGGGAAAACAGGAGGCTCGTAGACCCAAATAGAAGATCGAATTTGCGAATGTATTGTAGAAAAACGAATGAACGGGCAATTCGTCTAGGAATAATGAACTCGAAGTGAGTCCTCTCATAAATAATGCGATATAAAATAGAGCTTGAGTTATTCTTTAGCTCAAAAGAGAGACGTTTATCGCCAAATTGAAAATTTAAGATTAAGGTGGGGAAGAAGATGCAAGTAATAATAAAAAATTGTATTTCGGATTAATCAAAATATCAACTTTTGAATTTTATTTGATAAATATCTCTAAAAACCGCATAAGATTAAATGTTCGAGATCAGAACATTAATTTGTAGTACAAAGTTATAAAAAATATCGGAGTTTTCTGTTCAAAATTTGAATCTTACGAAGCTGCCTTCTTATACCCTTCTAACTTTATAGCCCTTTCTTAAAAAAATAATCTAATATACCCTGTGCATACAAATCGCGCTCTATTGCTCGAGCGGAGATTGCTCGCCGCAGCCGCGGTTACATCTCGCGACTACGCTCTCCCGCGCACACGTGTGTGGAAGCCGTCGATTGTGCACGGCAAAACAAACGAGCGAGACGGCGGTTTCCAATTTCCGCGGCGGCAGACGTGAAATCAACGTCCGCACCGGTACCGGTGCGCGTGACCGTGCATTTATGCGCGCTGCCCCCGCGGTACCGCCGCCTGAGATTTCTCTATGGTCACCCACGGAGTTGCCGCTACCGAGAGTCAGTCTGGATCGACCCTAAGCCCTTAACTCGCCGTGTATTTCCCTCCCGATTCACCGTCGCAGTATCATCTCGGCTGTCGCATTCCCTTGCCTTGCTCTCCTGATGCACTTGGCTTGGAACTTCTCTAATAATAGGACGGACCACGGACCTTCGTCCGTGAGATCCTCGTCTAAACCGCTGAAACTCGAGCGCATCACGTTATGCTTTGATAATCTTACAAAAGAGAGAAGATATTTCTTTTAATTATTTATTCGTATCTTATTAATTAACCGGAGAAAATTGTCGAGTCAGAAGTGCGAGAGGAGGGCCTTGGGTGTCTATTCAAAATTCTTGAAGAATTTGTTGAGACAGAACGCGCTGCTGAAACTTGAGAATCTTACGAAACGTCCTCCATATTGTTTTAAAAACAGTAGAACCGTTCGGTTCGGCTTAGCAACGAACACGCGCGCGATACATTTAACATAACACATAAATACGAGTGACATAAAACGAATTTTTCACGGAGAAAATAACGTTTTATTTATATCCTTCCGGTGTGAAGAGACTTGAGGGTTTACGAACGGACACTTTGATCTTCTAGTTACTATGTCTACTAATTCTAGGGCTTGAAATGTGTCAGTTCTCGTTTTTTTAATGTATCGCAGTCGTGTTCGAATTCCTTTCAAACGTGTAATCAAAAATAATATCTCATAAACTCATATTTGATAAAGCGATGGTCGATAAAAAATGCAGTATTTCATACTTAGGAGCCCTCTTCTGTAAACGACATATTATTACGTGCTCTGCGCAGATCACGAGACACGGTAGTGTCTCGCGCCAAGTGTAAGCGTAGCTAGTTATAATATACCATAGAAAAGCTGCGCCAAGAGAACATTTTACGATCGTAACTTTTTTAGGGACATGTCGCTTTGAAGAATTTAAATATTACTTCTATTTTGAACAAGATTACGAGGTCTGTTAAAAAAAAAAATTCCCGAATTTTGCTTTTATAATTTTTGGAGATCTACTTGCAACTTATTCAGTCTTGTGTCTTTCACATTACTTTCCTTTTCGATTAATACACCACTCCCAACGCACTTTTGGAAACAGTCCTCGTACGTGCTTTTCGGTATCGCCCGCGAAGACCTGCGTCCACGATGCCTAGAACTTGGTCCGAGTTCTAGTCTTGAAAAAATGTGTAGCCAATCAACTTGCAGCTATTCCATAAATGACGTAAGAGCAATTTTGTGTGGCAAACGGTACTTTAGTGGGCGATGATATTAATGAGATGAGAAAAAGAAGTGAAAGAAGGGAGAAGGGGTAAGGGCGACAAACTCTAAAGGCGGGAAAGAAATGCCGTTCGGTAATGGAAAGCAGCGGTCAGAAAATTTTCAAGTGCTTTCGGCGCCGCAGGCACGGCTGCGTGCCGACACGTTCCTATGAATCATGATTTCGCATAGGCGTGGACATGCGCTTGCATCTGCGCCCGACGAGAGGCTACAGCAGACTCGCCACATAAATCTGCATCGCGGATGAGGGACGGGGGGGAGCACTTCTGCGAGAGGACAACTCGCAGCGAGTCGATAATTCCTTTACGTGGCAATACTCGACGAACGTTTCGCGGCGAATTAGGGTCAATTGCACCGACGGCATCTCCGGTCAATTAACTCTAACGATTTCCTGTTTCCTTGAGGGAATATTTAGCCACGTCGGTGAAGATTTAGCTAGATATTGCTATTTTTGCCAATCGCGGCCGTAAAAGAGATTCAGTCGAGTCAACGTAACTTAATGAGAACAATTAAATTTACAAATTCCGCCAATTCTTTCGAAATGAGATGTCTCACATTTGACATCAGAAAGATAACGCGATGCCTTCGAAAATTCTCTTGTAAAAATCTCTTTATTATTGTGGGTTTTCTTCCCTTGGGAAAATATTAACCTTAGAAAACCTTAAAATTTTACTTTAGAGAAATAAGAAATATGAAAAGTAAATTTGGACACTTTAAACTATTATTTAAGCTAAACTTAAAACTTACTTTAAGAATTTAAAAGAAAACTTT